CAGCACAGAGCCTGACACTGGGTTTGAATCCATGAACCATGAGATCATGACCTGAGCCGAACCAAGAGTCAGCCGCTTAACGGACTGAGCCACCCAGGCGCCCCCAGATAGTAAATATTTTAGATTTGTGGGCCATATGGTCTCCACTGCAACTACTCAATGACCCCGTGGTTGGAGCATGAAAGCAGCCATAGGCAATTCGTACGCTAATGGTCATTTCTCTGTATCAATAAAACTTTATTTGCAAAAACAGATGGCCGGCCCACCTCCCAACGTCAAACAATAAACACTGATGATTTCACAGTTTTTGTGAGTCAGGAATCTAGATGATGGTGGCCCAGGGTTTCTCACGAGGTTGCGATTGAGTGGTTGGCTAGGACTACAGTCCCCTGAAGACAGAGCCGGGACTCGATAATCTGCTCCCCTGCTCACCCACGTGGTTGCTGGCAGGCCTCCCTTCCTTGCCACGTGGGCCTCCCCATAAGCTCTCTGGGTGACCTCACAACATGGGAGCCAGTCATGGGTGAGAGAGAGACAGAAAGTGCCCAAGACAGAAGCCACAGTCTTTTGGTGACCGAGTCTAACCTCCGAAGTGGAATCTCATCACTTGTGCCGTATTTTATTCAGTAAAAGTAAATCGCTAAGTCCAGCCCACGCTCAGAGGGAGGGCTCTCCACAAGGACAGGAGCTGGGGACCACTGGGGGTCACCCTGGAGGCTGGATGACACGGTCATTCATCTGGTCATTCACACAGCAAACATTCTAGACGCACCCGCACCTGCCATACACCATGCACAGGGGAAGCACCGGGAATGCAGTGGCGACAAGGCACGAGCTGTCCCACGCTGCCCCTACCCTCCTGGCCCTGTCAGCACCCATGTTTCTTAGAACTGGTTGTGTTACAATAAAAGACAAAGAGGGGCACCTGGGTGGCTCAGTCGGTTAAGTGGCCGGCCCTGGATCTCGGCTCAGGTCTTGATCTCAGGGTCGCGAGTTCAAGCCCTGCATTGGGTGCCACGCTGGTCATGAAGCCTACTTTAAAAAAACACATAGGGGCGCCTGGGTGGCTCAGTCGGTTGGGCGTCCGACTTCGGCTCAGGTCATGATCTCGAGGTCCGTGAGTTCGAGCCCCGCGTAGGGCTCTGGGCTGTCAGCTCAGAGCCTGGAGCCTGTTTCAGATTCTGTGTCTCCCTCTCTCTGACCCTCCGGCGTTCATGCTCTGTCTCTCTGTGTTTCAAAAATAAATAAACGTTAAAAAAATAATAATAAATAAATAAATAAATACATAAATTAAATAAATAAATAAATAATAAAATATAACGGGGAAAGAGAAAACTAAGAAAAGACAAAAAAAAAAAATTGAGGAAGATGCTTCTATAATACAGAAGATTTCCAAGAACTCATAGATGTCTACCTAGCTCAATTAACAGTCCCTACGGGACTAACTAACTCCCCTAACTAACTTCCTGCGGGACCCAGACAGGCAGCATGAAAAAGTGACGGCCGTCCCCCTCAGAGAGCAAATGTGCTCAACAGAGAACTTGGGTCCCCATTGCGAGGGAGGTGCCACCCCCATTCAAGTCCAGCCTGTGGGACGCCACCAGAATCTGGGTCTGAACTGATTTTCTGAGAAAATCCTAGCGTTGGGGTTTTATATGAAGTCTCCTAATAAGTCGCCCTAGTAAATATGGGCAATGGCAAGAGACTGTGTTTCCCTCCTCCTGTTCTCTGTGTGTCTCAGCCTAGTTTCTCCTGGTATCAGGCCCTGAGGCCAAAGCTTGCATGCAGGTGGCCTATATGGGAAATGATCCCAGGGGGTAGGACCAGGAAGTGAAAGGGGGAGAAGGAAAACCACCGAGAGCAAAGGCGCGCTCTTGGTTGACCGTCCCTACGGGAGCTACACGCTGCTAGGACCTTCCGAGGCACTGAAGGCTTGCGTCTCGGAACCGCCTGCTCCAGAGCAGAAGGGGAAGCCTTTATCCGTCCGCTCCCCCGACAGGTCAAGGGCAGCCCCACAGGTGCTAATCCCCCAGCACTTCTCCCTGCCGGAGGCACATGCAGCCTCTTGCTTTTGAACTCAAGCTCGGCCACGAGACGGCTCGGGCCAACGGAAGGTGAGCTGAAGTAACCCGCCTTCGCTTTCAGGCAGAACCCTCAAGAGCCAGGCTGTGTGGTTCGCTGTGCTCTCCAGATGGAGACCCCTCTGTCACCCTGGGTCCTGGCCCGCAGATGTCATGATCACTTGCAGCCTGGGTACTTACCAGCCCCCCCGGGACGCGAGGATTGTTTGGACTTTTAAAACTTTGCGAGACGATCAAAGCCTACGGGCGTTATCCTCAGGACACCATGTTGTGACCTCCGCCTTAGAAGAACCAAATTCTAGCGCCACAAGTGGACTAATGTGGGACTTGAGGTTCACTTTGCAAGCTGTGGATTTGGGGAAGGGAGGTCTCTCTCTGCCATATACCATAATATCCTGGCTTGGATACCGTAATACCAAGGGCAGACAAGAAAGCTGATGGAGCTGACCCTGCTCTGCGTCCTTTATGCCGGCACCGTATGCTTTCAGCAGATCTCAGTTTACACCAGCTGCATTCCAAGTGTTCCATAACCACATGTGGCTAGTGGCTACCATATTGGATAGAGCCGCTTGAAAATACAGTTGCCCTGGACCTTTCTGTCGTAGCCTCGTCTCCGCCACAACATCACCTCCCCACAGATTTGTGATTATGCTTTCCAAAGGACCAGCTCAGGGGCGCCCGGGTGGCTCAGTCGGTTAAGCGTCCGACTTCAGCTCAGGTCACGATCTCGCGGTCCGCGAGTTCGAGCCCCGCGTCGGGCTCTGGGCTGATGGCTCAGAGCCTGGAGCCTGCTTCCGATTCTGTGTCTCCCTCTCTCTCTGCCCCTCCCCCATTCATGCTGTGTGTCTCTCTGTCTCAAAAATAAATAAACGTTAAAAATTTTTTAAAAAAATAAATAAATAAAGGAACAGCTCTCCTACCCCCATCATAGCACTTCGACTATCCTAGGAATATCACTTTCGCTTCCCGGGAAAGACTATACTTTCGGGGACCGTTGCTAGCGTTCATTGCATAGGGCTGCTGCACAAAAGTTATATGGCTTAGAAACAACAGAAAGGTATCCTCCCATGGTTCTAAAACCTAGATGTCTGAAATGTGGCAGGGCTATTCGCCCTCTCTCTGAAGGCTCTAGGGGAGAATTCCTTCTGGCGTCTTTCTAGCATTTGGTGACAATCAGCACTGTTTGGCATTCTTTGGCTTGCAGATACATCGTTCCAGAATTCAACGAATTCTGTTTGCAGTGGCCTTATTTCCAAATAAGGTCCCACTCTGGGGTTCCGGGAAAGAGGCGAATTTGGGGAAGACACTATTCAACCGGGCACACCCGGTATCACCGTGTTGTTTATGGTACTTGCTTCTATCTTAACTTGTCCTACTTGCTTTCCTGTTTGCTCTCTGATTGCCCCCCACTAAAACGGAAGCTCCGTGTGAACAGCTGTCTCATCATTCTGCACCTAACACCATTTCTAGCGCGCAGAAGGCACTCAAGAAATATTGGCTGCAAAGAGAAATGGAGGGAGGGAGCAAAGAAGAAAGAAACTTTCTGGTTTGACATTTTTAAGATGGTGCCTGGGAATCAAGAAAGGGCTGATGCTAAGGGGGCTTCCTACAAATGGTTGCTTGGGACCAGTCTTTCTATTCTCTTCCCAGAAGCTCTAGAAGAAGCCCAGCTCGGGCTCCTGGATGGCCTCTCAGAGCTCTCCATTCCCATACCTCCGAGGAACCTGCCCTCAGTCTTATCCCACCACAGAAAAGAGGGTGCCTAGCTAGCCAGGAGGGTGGCACAGAAAAAAAGGAAAAAGGAGACGCTCACAACTCCTGCCCAGGGCACGCCTTGTGCCACGCTCTTCCCTTTGGAGGAGTGATGTGTACCCGCAAAGGTGTCTCCGCCTTGCAACTGAGAATGCAAAGCAGTAAGGACGCTCAGCTGCCTACTGGCAATTCACAGAAGTGGGCTAGCTGGAGACCGGAGCAAACCGGAATGCTTGGTAAACGGGTAGCAGCCATGAACCCTGGGTGACGGGGCTCACAAAGGAGAGTCTTGTGTTTCCTAGCCTTCGAGGTTTTCAAACGAACCGAGGCCTGGATTTTTTAATAAAATTATCTCACTAGCAAGTGTGGGCAATCAATTCAATTTTTCAAAAGCTCAGCAGAGGCCCACCTCCCCGCCCCTGCCACCACCACCAAAAGGCTGCCTGTGACCGGAGGTAACCCTTGATTCCCACCCTCTGGGGAACGCAGCTCCTCGGAGTGTCTTTAGGAATCGGAAATTTCCAGTGTGGGTGGGAGCAAAATGGAACTCTGGTCCGTAGACTCATACGGGGAAGACTGAACCAAAAAGAGGCAAGGAACAGGTTCAAACACCTACAGTTAGGCCTACGCAAAGCAGACACCTTCTCTCCATTCCCAAGTAGGGATAAAGCATCCTTGACCTCAGTCGTAGTTTTGCCCAGGTCCTCTCCAAATATTTACATGAACTGCAAGGATCAAGGTGAAGGGAAAACCCCACAGCCTGGCTGCCCTTTCGCTTCCTTCAAACCGGGGGCTAGTCTTCAAATACCTCCCTCCCAAGCTCCCAGCACCACCTTCCCAAATCATAGTTAAGAATATCAGATGGGGTTCCAGTCGGGACTTGGGCAAGTTCTCTAAGCCTCAGTTTCCCCATCACTAAGATAAGGGCTAGGTCATACCTCAGCTTTGTACAAATTAGAGAAAGGCACTTCTTTTCCAGTGCAGCCCCAAGCCAAGGCACCAGCTTGATGAGCACAGAAAGACTGGAATTCAGGACCCTCTTCGCCCCTCAGCCGGGTGCCTTTGTTCAGTGAGCAACCTGCACGACCATTCAGGGCCACCCTGGATAGTCTCTCCTTTGTAGACTTTACGTGTGATACTGTTTAACACTCATTATTGACACAATTATTGGGTAAATTATAATAAGGCAACACGTTTTTATTCAATCCTAATTTTTTTTTTTTTTTTACATACTCTTCAACAGAGAATGATATTAACTAAACCCTACGGCCCTGCGGCCTTTGGGGTCCTCAATATGATTTCTCTTAGAGGCAGAGAATTAATATTGTTGAGTAATAAGAAGGATCCCCTTTTCAATTCTCCCATCTCTTCTGAAAAAGATCCAGTATTGAATAATTCCAATACTTGCTAATCAATACACACACACACGCACACACCCTCTCGAAGTGATTCCCGAGCAAGCACCGTGGCTCAAATGTTTTAGATCACTTGGTTTTAGTTGTTTTTTTTTTTTTTTTATCTCTTCCCATTTCCCTTTATGGTGAGTAAGACCCACTTTTCAATTTGCAGTAGCTGTATCAGGTTTTCTTTCCCAAAACATGTATTTAAGTATTTAAAATGAGTCAACTTAAGGAAAAATGTTAAACAATAGCAGAGGTGGTGGCGGAGGGCTTGAAGTTTGGGAAACTCAACACCGCTGACTCCAGACAAGCCCAGATCCTGATGTTTTCTCAGCTTTCCCAGTTTCGAGTTGGGAGGAGGCTGGCGGAGGAGGGCAAACCGTCCAACACCCAGAGGTTCCCCGCTCCGCTGCATCTGGAGCTGGGCATCCAGGCCTTTCTGACTGTTCCAGCAGTCGGTTCCCTCTTGAGCTCGACTGGGAATTTGCTCCCTGCAAGTCCTGACTTTCATACACCTTCACCTCTTTGAGAGGCAGGCCCGGTCCTGTCTCCTGAGCTCTGGGGACCTTCTCAGAGAGAGACATGCCCCCTCTAGAATGACTGGGTCCTCCAGGTCGGCTCTGTCAGGCTGAGCCCAGGCCGGAGCCCGGCAGGGACAAGCCAGGGGCCTGTGGCAACCTTCCCTGGCCCAGCGAAGCCGCTGCGCCCTTCCAGATTAAGGAGTGAGTGGAGCCGGGGACACAATGAGGCTGTGTTTGATCCCGCGACGTGTCACTCATTTCAAACAATTCATTGCCACTAGACGACGACGTTGTCAGGCGCTAATTTCCTGGTGGCGCTCCATCACAGGCCTCGAAGCACCAGGGGAGGGGGGGGGGGGCAGAGGCCCACGGGTCGGGGGCGCGAGGGAACCTTCGCGAGCGAGGCGGGGGTTCCCGTAACGAGGCTTTTAATGAGGGGAGCGCGGCCGGCCTTTGTGGAGAAGCCCGAGGAGGCGGCGGCGGCGGCCGGGCCGAGCTCTCCGAGAGGTCACTTCCTCCCCGGGGCCCGAGCACCCGCCATCCCGTTGAGGGCCAGCTGCGGCCACCAGGCCGGGCGCCCGCTGCGGGCTCTCTTGGGCCCGCGCCACCCTCGCCGGCCCCGAATTGCGGCCGGAAACGGAGTAGTTCCCTGCAACAATGCAAACGCGCTCATTACCATCTCCTCAATATGCATGAAGAAAATGCACTAGGCTGGCCGAGCCCCATCACCCGGCTCCGGCCTCGGCATCCAATAAGGCGACATATTCATCTCCCAAGATGGATGAGGAGGGGGCGCCGCAGGGAAGGCAGATCCACGGGGGGGGGGGGGGGGGGCCCACACGTCCCGGGGAGGAAGAGGAGAAGAGAGAAAATACAAGCGCAGCAGAGCCTGAGACGCAGACCAAGGAATCGGAGAAGGAAATAGATTAGGATGAACGAACGAAAGAAAGGTGGACGGAGAAATGAGGGAGAGGGCGAGGGGCAGACAGGGGTAAAAACAGACAAAATAAGGGAAGGAGCAAAACTGAGAAAAGTAACTGCGAAGTGGTCCAGAGGAGCGGATAAAACAACGAAATGGGGAGCGCGCGGAGGAAAGAATGGACATGAAGGAGTTAGAAATCGAATACCCAGACAGCGGGACAGACAGACACAGACGGGGAGAGGAAAACAAAGGAGAGGGAGGCAGAGAAACTGCTCAAGTCAGGTGGAAAAAGGATGATCGTGGAGAGGTAAAGAAAAATCAGATCACTTGCGCTGAAGGCCAGGTTTTCGGTCCCGGCCATCCTGGGCTCTGCGAGTCGCGGGCAGCTCGGAGACGGGGGCCCGAGGGCCAGGTGGGGGACGCGCGGGGGCGCAGCGGGGTGCCAGGGGCCGCCGGCCGGCCTCGCACCCCTCCTTGGGCTGCCCTGCAGGCTCCGGGGTGCCCAGGCCTGACTTGGGGCCCACTCTGCGCGTCGCGGCCCGCAGCCGCCGCGGCCGGCCGGGCGGCCTCTCCCTCGCCGAGAGCAAAGTTGGCAAAGTTTCTCCCAAAGTTTCCCCGACGCTTCTCGGGACGCAGGGACCGGCTCCGAGGCCCTGGCGGCTGGTGGGGAGCGGCAGCCCGTTCCGGGGCGGCTCTGGAGGCCGCCGGCCCGCGCCTCCTGGGATGCCCGGGGTCCGGATTCCGGCCTGATGCAAATCCCTCCCGGTGAGGACGCCAGGCCACGCACTCCGGGTGTCTGCAGGGCTGCTAATAGCGGAGAGAGAGAATGCGGGGGAGAGAGAGAGAGAAACAGAGAGAGAGAGAGAGAGAGAGAGAGAGAGAAGAAAAAAATATTCTCAGCTCAATTTAAGTCTCATGGAAAGGGCTTACAACTGTAATTAAATCATTAAATTCTTGTCTACGCTTCACAGAGCGGAGAGAAATTAACTTCCCACCAACCTCATTTTCTATTTGAACATGAAATAATGATTTTCTGCCCGTCTAATTACAAAGCCAACATCTGATCAAGCCAGCATCCAGAGGGGATTATCACATGCACGAGTATTAGACCTCATTACCAGCTTGAGTGCAAAATTATTACATCTTGTAATTGGATGGTGAGATTTATATACAGATCGGCCCGGTTTCTGTAAGATTGTAATTACAAGCTTCGTTGGTTAGCTACTTATCAGAACTTTGCAGGAAAACAAAACAAATGACTGAGGAAAACGAGCATTTCATTAACCTGTAACCCGAGCGCGGGGGGAGGGAGCGGCGGGAGCGTGCGCCGCGGCGTCTGCAGGAAGCGGAGGGATCGCCGGCCGCACTGCAGCCCGGGGATTTCGGTTCTGGGAGAGAAGAACTGAAGATGGGCCTCGGCGGGGAGACCTAGGGCGACAGCGGCGCCCCTCGACGGGGACGCGCGCGCGCACCGTGGGGCTGGGCGAGGAGGGGGCGGGAAGTGGGCCTGGTGGCTAGGTGCTCGCTTTCAGTGCGCGGCGCTGCCCTTGAGCCTGGCGGGCCGCGCGGCCCCTGGGCATACGTCGGGCCGCGCGGCCCCGGGTGCGAGTCCAGCGAACGCTGCTGCGTGCACCAAACGTGTGCTAGGGACACCCTCTCCGTGCACTGCCACACTCTGGGCCGCGTAGAGAGAGCGCCTACAGCAAGACTCCGAGGCGCTTTGTGCGCCGGGAACGTTGGAAGAAGGCGAAAAGACGGAGACGCTTTTGTGTGCGGCACGTTTGTGCGCGCGTGCCTTTCCCAAATCAGCTTCCCGTGCACCTGCTTTTCCTCCCTGTGCGAGTGTATCACTTTGACCTCATCCCTTGGATTAAAAAGCTCTGGAAATGGTTCGGCTGTCCTCGAACCCCAGAGTTCAGTCCGGAGCCGGGATCCGTTGGCCCCGTCGAGTTGGGGAGCCAGTGCCACGTCGGGGCTCGGCCGCCTACGACGCTGAGTCCCGACGTGAAGCGCGGATCGCCGGGGCAAGGGCGGGGCTGATCTCTGCTGGACACTAGGGTAGCGAAGAGGCCGCTTCCGCCCAGGACCTGGGCGCCTTCTTGAGTACGCGTATGGGTTTGGAGGGGGGGTGCCTTCGGGGCTATGAGCGCCCTTAGACCTTCGTGGTTGGGTCACTGAGAACAACCTTGTCCCTTTCCTGGCCTCCACGCTGCCAGGTCAATAGTTGGTTAATGTGGAAGAAGCGTCTCCGGGGCTCATGGTTTTTCTCTTATCCTTCTGGAAGAGCTGAGTTAAATAGCGAGCGTTTCATCCGGGCATTTACAGCGCAGCCCCAGAGTCCCCACCTCGGAACCTAGCTCTTGGCTCGCTCTGGTCTGGCGCCACCACTTTGCACAAACTCTAGGGTTCAGGGCCGTCGAGGCTCGAGGTCTGACACCTAGGAAACAGTCCGGGAAATAATGTTACCCTCAGTTTTGTCACCCCTGAAATCTTCCGCGAGAAGGTGAGCCCCATGACTCCCTATGCCATTTGGCTTCGAGGTTTAACTGCAAACGAAATCAGGCTCCGAGGAAACATTTCAAAGCCAGAGCTTCCCCTGATATCTCCTCCTCTGGGGAGACTCCAGCTAAGGCCAACGCCCGGTATCTGGAAGAGAAGCAGGTGGGGAGAGGCTATGGGAAAGAGCTCGACCGGATTTGAGGAATTTGAAAAGGCCACACAAGTCAGTTTCCCCACTTGAACCCCAAACCTGGCCGCCCCCAAACTTTCCCTTGTCTTCCACCCCATTTTTCTCTGGAGCCGCCGCCGGGTGCCAAGCCCCGTGGAAAGAAGACGGGGGGGGGGGGGGGGGGAGTGATGGGCGAGGTCAAAACTGGGAGTTCATTCCTCAACTGGAATGCCCAAAGCTGCTTGGACCAAAGATAGCCCGGGCCCCTCACTCTGATGGAATTCGGATTCAATTGCCCTCTCCATCAGCGCGCGGCGGCCAGTTTCCGCCTCGAAGCCCGAACTGGCCACTCCAGGACAGAGTCGCCGCCTCCGTGTTGTCCCCGGAGCGCTACCGCGGCAGGTCTGGCCTGCGCGTCAGTCGCAGCCGCGGCCTAAAGCTTTTAGCCCAGAGCCTCTACGATTCCGGGAATGTCAATCCTGCTGCCGGCTGCACGCCCTAATCCGTGAAGGTGGGCGTTCGGATACTGGGATTTCAGGTTCGATTTAGGAAATATTCCACTGTGGGACCAAAAGTCTTGCCTCCCATCCCCACCCGAGACGGTGATAGGATCCTTACGGAAAGAAAGCGTGTTGGCACGGCGACCGGGGCGCAGGGGAAGGGGTAGTGAAAGGAAGGGTGTCTACAGACCGAAAATTCCAATATACAAACTTCTCGGAGCGCTCTGGGAAAGTTCCTGGAGCCTCAGCCACCGGCTCTCTGCTCCTCCACCATCGCACACCCGCTTAGGGCACCGGCAGGCTCCACTTCCCAGTCGTGGCTCCCCAGGATCCCCGGGGCGGGACGGGGGGGGGGGGGGGGGGGCGGGTGTCCACACTTCAGTCCCTGCAAAGGCAGAGCCCGCCATTTCTAATAAGAGATTCGCACCCGGACACCGGAGGCGTTAAAGTGGCCGGGTAGGGGTCTGTTTCGCTCCCCTGGGCAATGAGATGGCCTTTGAAGATTCGACCGGGGTGCACCCCTTCACCCCCTCGCGAATTCTTCTAGCTTTTTTCCTACGCCGCGGACAGTGCCTGGGGTCTAGAGGTGCGAGCCGAAAAAGGGTCCGGGCCGAGGAAAGCCCCAGCGCCTGCCCTGGACCAGGATCTGGTCCCGACCCAGGCCCCGCGCTGGGGCGGGGGGAGAGGTACCGAGGGCGGGCGGCGGGGAGGGGCGAGCTGACCCCGTCCTAACCCGCGTCCCCAGCGCCTCCCGCTCCCCCTCCCCGCGCAGGCCGGAGGGGGCGGGCAAGGACTCCCAGCGCCCGGGCTCGCGGCCCCGCCCCGCCCCGCCCCGCCCAGCGCGCCGTATCCTCCGGGGTGGGCGGCCCCGCCTGGAAGGCGCCCAGGCGATTGGCGACTCGGGAAGGAGACGCGAGGAAAAGTCGAATAAGAGGGCGCGACGTCAGACCCGAGATTTGGGGAAGGGCAAGGGAGGAGGTGAGGGCGGGGACGGACACACAGACTTAGACACAGATCCACGGACTCACACCCCCCACACAGCACCCTAAGTGTCCCCAACTTTAGGCCGCCTGAGCCCAGGGCGCCGAAGCCAGGGCTGGGGGTGGGGGTGGGGGGGGGAGTGTCGTGGGAGTAGAGAGAATGAGATAAAAACAGGGGTGAAGAAAGAGTGAAGGGAGCAGAAAAGGGAGAAGAGCAAAAGGAATAGAGAGAACGGAAAAGGAGAGAGAAAAGAGTTTCCGATCGTCCGGGAGAGGAGCGCTGAGAGGGAGGGGAGAGGAAGGGCGAGGAGGGGGGAGTACAAACTAGAGGAGGGTGAAGGAAGCGAGGCGCGACACTGCTCGGGGAGAGGAGGGCAGTGAGGAGCGAGGCGCGGGCAGAGGCGGCTCGGACCGCCGAGAGGAGGGAGCGCGGCGCAGAGAGGAGGGGCTTGCGGGCCCGTAGAAATGTCAATCAGAGCCCGGAGCCCCGGGAATCTCCGCCAATCTGTTCGGACCTGACCTGGCTCCTCGCCGCCGCCGCCGCCGCCGCCGCCGCCGCCGCCGCCGCGGAGCAGATCAATAGGCGAACGCGGAGCGCTGCGCAGCGCGGGAGGCAGCGCGGCCCCAGCCCGGCCCAGCCCCCGATGCGCGCAGGAGCCCGCGGGCGGCGCTGAGCTGGGCGGCCCAGGGGGCCGGGCCCCCTCTCCGTCCGTGCCCCGCGGGCCACCATGTCCTTCCCCCAGCTCGGATACCAGTACATCCGCCCGCTCTACCCACCCGAGCGCCCGGGGGCCGCCGGCGGCGGCGGCAGCGCTGGAGCCCGGGGCGGCCCAGGAGCCGGAGCCTCGGAGCTGGCCGCCTCGGGGTCCCTGTCCAACGTGCTCTCCTCCGTGTACGGGGCGCCCTATGCCGCGGCGGCAGCGGCTGCCGCCGCCGCCCAAGGCTACGGTGCCTTTCTGCCCTACGCCGCCGAGCTGCCCATCTTCCCGCAGCTGGTAAGCGCCCAGGGAGCCGGAGTGGGGCGGGGGGGAGGGTTGGAGCTGGGGCGCGGGACGAGGTGGAGCGCGCGGGAGTAGACCAGCGGGGCCCAGGCCGGGAGGGTGGAGGCGGCGACGGCCAGGGCGGCTAGGGCTCACCCGCGCTCCCTCCGCGCGTGTCCCTTCCTTCTCCATGTGCGTACAGGGCGCGCAGTACGAGCTGAAAGACAGCCCGGGGGTGCAGCATCCGGCCGCGGCCGCCGCGTTTCCGCACCCGCACCCCGCCTTCTACCCGTACGGCCAGTACCAGTTCGGGGACCCGTCCCGTCCCAAGAACGCCACCCGGGAGAGCACCAGCACGCTCAAGGCCTGGCTGAACGAGCACCGCAAGAACCCCTACCCCACCAAGGGCGAGAAGATCATGCTGGCCATCATCACCAAGATGACCCTCACCCAGGTGTCCACCTGGTTCGCCAACGCGCGCCGGCGCCTCAAGAAGGAGAACAAGATGACTTGGGCGCCCCGCAGCCGCACCGACGAGGAGGGCAACGCTTACGGGAGCGAGCGCGAGGAGGAAGACGAGGAGGAGGACGAAGAAGACAGCAAGCGCGAGCTGGAGCTGGAGGAGGAGGAGCTCGTGGGGGAGGAGGAGGACACGGGGGGCGAGGGCCTGGCGGACGACGACGAGGACGAGGAGATCGATTTGGAGAACTTAGACGGTGCGACCGCGGGGCCTGAGCTGGCCTTGTCTGGGGCGGCACACAGGGACGGCGACCTCGGCCTGAGACCCATTTCAGACTCCAAGAATAGCGACTCGGACGACAGCTCGGAGGGCTTGGAGGAGCGTCCACTGCCCGTGTTGAGTCTGGCCCCGGCGCCACCGCCGGTGGCCGCGGTTCTGCCGTCTCCGCCCTCGCCTCCTGCAGGCCTGGACCCCTGCGCTCCTGCACCACCGCCCGCCTCAGCCCTGCAGAAGCCCAAGATCTGGTCCCTGGCCGAGACGGCCACAAGCCCGGACAACCCGCGCCGCTCGCCTCCGGGCGCGGGAGGTTCTCCCCCGGGGGCAGCCGTCGCGCCCCCAGCCCTGCAGCTCTCTCCGGCCGCGGCAGCCGCCGCGGCTCACAGACTCGTCTCGGCGCCGCTGGGCAAGTTCCCCGCTTGGACCAACCGGCCGTTCCCAGGCCCTACGCCGGGCCCACGCCCGCACCCGCTCTCCCTGCTGGGCTCGGCCCCTCCACACCTGCTGGGACTTCCCGGAGCCGCGGGCCACCCGGCCGCCGCCGCTGCCGCCTTCGCTCGGCCGGCGGAGCCCGAGGGCGGAACAGGTGACTACTGAGCGCCGCAGCGGAGGAAGGGGGTGGGTTCTGGGGGTCGCGCCGGGGCGGACGGAGATGGCAGGACCCCGGGGGGCGCGGGGCGCTTTCCACCCCGCGCCCGCCTCCCGCGGCCCTGAGTGCCGGCGTGGAGCTCTCTAAAGGCCCTCCTATTTCTTCCCCGCTTGCCTTAGATCGCTGTAGTGCCTTGGAAGTGGAGAAAAAGTTACTCAAGACGGCTTTCCAGCCCGTGCCCAGGCGGTAAGAGACCCCGCGGTAGGGGCGGACGGTGGGACAAGCAAGTGGGGGAGGAACGGACGCGGAGCACTGGAGGCTTTTGCCCCCGGGGAATGCAGCCGGGACGTGCTTTAAAAGGGGGACCAGACACACACTCCTCCGTAGCGCCCGCGGGCCCAGAGAGGCCTCGGGCAATCCCAGCCCGGCACCCGGGCCGCGGCCCAGGGTACGGCGCGCGCGGTAGGAACCCGGGCCCCCGCCGGGCCAGCGGCGACTCTGGGAAGCCCACCTGGCGGCCTTCGAGCCGGGACCTCGGGTCCCTACTCCTTCCCAACCTTCTATAGTTAAACCGGAAGCCCAACATCTACAGCTGGACATCATCTGACACTGAGACACCTCCCAGTACCCCGGCCTCAGTCCCAGGTTGGGTGTCCCAAATCCTAGGCAGCGTCGGTGCCCCGAACTGTCACTTCCTTTGCTACCACTGCTTCTCTCTTCCAGGCCCCAGAACCACCTGGATGCCGCTTTGGTCTTATCGGCTCTCTCCTCCTCCTAGTACTTATTTTTAAAAATTTTCAATCGTTGTAATAATTGTAAAAAAAACAAAAACAAAAACAAAAACAAAACTCTCTGTATAGTTATGACTTGTAAGCATGTCCGTGTATGAATACCTAAGAAACAAAACTAAGCAAAAAGAAAAAAAGAAAAAAAAAAAGAAATAAACCAAGTTCCCTCAGTCCTCCCCAAGTGGCTTCTGTACCCCACATTAGCTGAGTTTGTGAGGGTTTTTCTGGTTGATGTTGTTCGGTTGATTTTGGGAGGTGGAGTTGCCGTGAGAATAAGAGTGTCTGAGTTGTTTTTTTTTTTTTTTTTTTGTATATACAGAAAAATGTACATATGTGTGAACCAAATTGTACAAGAAAGTATCTATTTTTGGCTAAATAAATGAGCTGTTGCCACTTTGACTATAACCTGCCTGTCTGGG